ACAGTGACAATGTCTCATGGTCATACAGCATGAAGTCTTCTAGACTTTTATCTTTCTGAGTCACATCAACAAGCTCTTTCACAAACTGTGTTAAAAAATATACTATTACTGCCATAGAATGGATATAAACATTTGCAACATTGCACACAACAACAAGCTAATGGAAGTAAGAATTGGATCTTTCTTTTGAACACGACTGGCATGCTGGTAAAGGTGATCTGTACACAGTAATGGTAGGGGATTTACTGCTATTCAGATGGTGGAACTGAGGGTGTGATAACACTATTTTGGTTATGATTTGTGTGAGTGAATGAGAGTAACCACTGAAAATTGGGAAAGATCTAGCTAGTTTTGTCCAGATTGCATGCAATTATCAATTAAAGAAAGCTTAGAATGAAGTCATGTGCGCTAAAGGTATTAGAGACATGAATAACCAAGAATACTGTATTTATTACTATATTAGAAGTGCATCTTCATTACACATAAAGCATTGTATTTAATGCATGCAAGATCATTGAAATATTTCTTCTTTTGACCATAGACTTGTCTTTGTCCTTTATTTTTACAGTAGGCATATGTGCTTCTAATAGAGAAAATAATTAGGGTGGTCCCAAGTAGCTTTGGTTTAACAATTATAAATATTTAATTAAATAATGACCATATATGACTTAATATTTTGGACATATATCTTGTCAGACCACAAAATTATAACACCATTTGCACTGTACTGTACTACAACAGCACTTAGAACATTACAGTTATGCATATTAAGGTAGAGATGCAGGTTTGTGGGCACTTGGGAGTGAAAAAGTCATGGCTATAGACTCAAAAAAACGATTTTAAAATATAGATAACAGGTGCAAAATTATCTCTTTTGAATGCTTAGCAAGATTTAGCAAGGCTGTACATAAATAATAAAAAAAAACATGGTGAAAAAAAGAAATGACGGGATCTCCATATTATGCACTGTATTTAACTTTTTACAAAACGATAATACATTTAAATTTGAAACTGTAACAGCCATTTTAATTATGAGCATTAGCAAACTTCTTACTGAGTGAATTGTTATGCAAATTAGCCATTATCTCAGCTTCTTTTTAGTGCACATTCCAGAACTTTGGAAAAAATAGCTCTTAGACGATTTGACCTTTTGTTTTGAAATTTTCACAAATGATTGGCAATGTGTTTATCTTCAAAATGCCGTCAGGGCATTGTTTTTAGTTGAATAGTGTTACAACAATCGTACAGACAACTAGCCTGGGTGTTTATTTATGCATAACCTTGTAGTGAAAGTTGAGCTGCTGCCCTGCAAAATTGACAACTGGTAGACAGTTTTCAAGACGACACTTTCTTCATGGTAAACAGATGTACCCGTAAACCAATTTTGACAGGAAACAGAAGCATGGTTTAGAAGCTAATTTTTTTTAAATCATTTTTGACCAAAAAAATCACATTTTTGTGCATATTTCAAACTACAAAACTTTAAAATTCATACAATAAGCTTTCCGAAAATATATAGTTTTGTGGACAAGGGAGGACAACTTGGTTTCCTAATTAACTAATTAAAATACCTGTCAGGTAAACTGCATCTCTACCTTAAGAAACAAACATGAAACTAATAACAGGTAATTAATATGCATGGATTTCAACCCTGAAGTAATCAGAACTGTGGATTATCTAAAAGCATCTACGTACCTAGTTTTACTAACATTTGATCAGTGGTACACACGATATCTGTGGTGCCACCTATAAATTGGTTAGTTTTATGCAAATTAGGTAATTAGTAAGTAAAACAATATTAACCCTAAACCGAACATGTATATGTTTATGTACCAATTTTTCATTGAATCTGATGAGTGGTATTGGGGAAAAATTTTAATATTGGCTGATTTATATGCAAATCAGAATATGCATAGAATTTCAACCGAAATTTTATCAGGTCTAGTATTATTAGTGTCTATGTACTATGTTTCATTAAAATCTGTTGAAACAATTGAAAATGCTTGAAATTGGGTTATTATTATGCAAACTAGGTCAATGATATTCACAGGATTTCAACCAAAACTAATCAGTACTGAGCATTATCCAAGAACATCTATGTACTAAGTTTCATTGAAATCCATTTAATGGTATATGAAAAACAGTGAAAATGCTTAAAATTGTTTCATTAAAATCTGAGATATCAGTTGAACAGACATAGACACACACAGATGCACTAACCGTAAATCATTGTGTGCTTCATACACAGGAGTCAAAAACACAAACGATATTGACCTAGACAACGTAGATGATCTTTGATACGTACCTGTGACCAGTAAACATATCTGTTATCTTGTTGAAGTTTTTGTAATTGTGCCTTGAAATCTTTATCCAATGATCCACTAAAAAATATAACAAGTTGTCAATGAATTAGTCCCTGTCAAACAAGTCATTGTCAATGACATAGTCCCTGTCAAACAAGTCATTGTCAATGTCATAGTCCCTGTCAAACAAGTCATTGTCAATGACATAGTCCCCGTCAAATAATTGGCTCATAATGCAACCCATTGCCAACTATAAAGTATGCAGTATATTTACAATATAATGATGACAAATAATGGCAGAACAAGAAAACTCAACGACTCTACAATATCTCCCTTTCGCAAAACAAA